TATCATATTGTATTTGACTAACTTGAACTTAACGATGCGCAGGAGTTTCTCTCTTTTTCTCTCATTGTAGCTGTGATGTTCTTTGGTTTGGACTGAAACTGTCATTAGGAGGTCATTATTTTTTTAAGAACTCATTGTTGTTGTTGTTATTGAGGGGGAAGGGAGATTCTGTGTCCCTACCCCTCTCCCACCCTCCTAAGCAAAGGTCCCCCCTAAACCCTGAGCTGAAAGGCTAAAACGAACCTTTTAGATAGAGGACTAAGTCCCAGCCCTGGCTATGACAATTCACAGTTCACCAGTATTTTTACCCTGAGCTGCACCACATCTTTCGTTTTCTTTTGGATCATCCTCATAATTTCCTTCGCACACCGATAGTGGTAAGTTAGCCAGTCCTCCTCTGCCTTTTTTAACCCTTGAATCTTCCTAGTGATTTTCCCATTTGTAGATCCGCCCCACCAGATTCCCATGTCCCAGCAAATGTCTACCTCATTCTTGCTCCCAGTGTTCTTTTTTTCTTTCCATTGGATTTGATTAATCTCCCATCATTTCTAATTTAAAATTCATTTTAAATAAAATAATAATATCCACTCTGTATTGTCGAAGGCTTTCATGGCCGGAGAAAATGCCTCTAGAACATGGCCATATAGCCCGAAAAAACCTACAACAACCCAATATCCACTCTGCACATGCAATTTGATTTTATTTTGGTATCTAAATTTTCCGGATATTTGCCATTCTTTAGTCTTCCACCTTTTCCTCAAAAAATTCCTTATTACCGACTTTTGTAAATCCGCAGGGCATGTCTAAATTCCCCAGCACACTTCTACTTTTTTCATGGGGGAGCGAGAGGAGAAAGAGGTGTGAAAAGGTACTTCAGGTGTGGAGAGCGAACCAAACTCTCTTTAACCCAGCAGAACGACTGTGGACATATCCCTGAACAGCACAGACATGTGTTTCAAGTGGCCCATGTGGGTGTTTAGGTAGGTCAGGGTCTTTTATATATACACAGCATCCCCCTGTTCCCATAGATCCTACCCTCCTCCCTATTATTTATTGTGGATGAATAGAGGTTGGCAAGTATGTATGTGAGTGTGCGTGGATGGAAATTTGGTGTCCGTCAACCCCACTCAAAATGGGGCCCTTCATTTTTTTTTAAAGGGGAAGGAGGTGGACTGGCTGCCTTCTTGGATATTTTAAAAGCTTGCAGTTTAGTTTTTTAAGAATTCCCTTACAAACCTGATTACCAAGAGCTGTTGGGCCTTACTTAGAGGTGAAGGATTGTAGCTTGAACCTTGTGTGTGGAACGAGGCTTAGCTGAACATGGGTTTGAAGTAATGAGGTGGGAAAAGGGAGGTTTTCACAGTACGAAGTTGATATTTGAGGAACGGAGAGCCAAGAGACATCTCGGGACAACAACAAACCTGGTGCCATCGATCCCATGCGAAACCTTGTGAAAGCATCACTCCTGGATGGAGGGGACTGAGTCGCCAAACCCTGACTACCAGAATTGGAAAGGCCCAGCTCCAAAATGATGGAGAACACACACAAATGTACCCTTTGCTTCCTGTGACAAAAAAAATAAGAGACTTCTTTTCTCCCCGCCCCGCCCCCTCCCAATTTGGATCTCGGAAGGCCCCCCTTTTTTACGACGTGTATTTCTGTGTATCTTGTTCGCGCCTCAAGGGTATTGTTCTGAGATATGGGATTTGTGTTCTGTATTATTGGATGTTCCTATATATTTTTATTGTTTATTATTAGTGTCTGAGACGTTTTTTTCTCTCAATATGTAAAACTCACATTGTATACTGTGTACACAACAAAATGACAAGAAACACTTTTCTTTGCAAAAACCAAATGCCTGATGCACAGCTTTGTTCATTTTGTTGGGAATTGGGCAGCAGTGGAAGGGGCTTTTTCTGGTTATATTTTGTCCGCTTGGGAAGAGTAGTTCATTGGGAGGGTAAGGAAAAGAAAATCCAGATCTACCTTGTGCTTTTAGTTTTCCATCTTCATCATCTGCGGGAATGTGGAACCCCTGGTGGCACAATCGGTTAAGCCCTTGTGGCGACAGGACTAAAGAGACAGGTTAGAGGTTAGAATTGGGGGAGAGCGCAGATGAGCTCCCTCTGTCAGCCCCAGTTCCCCATGTGGACACATGAGAGAAGCCTCCCACAAGGTTGGTAAAACATTAAAAAACCACACATCTGGGCATCCCATAGGCAATGACCTTGGGGAGAGCGCAGATGAGCTCCCTTTGTCAGCCCCAGTTCCCCATGCGGAAAAATGAGAGAAGCCTCCCATAAGGATGATAAAACATCAAACCAAACAAAAAACATCCAGGCGTCCCCTGGGCAACGGCCAATTCTCTCACACCAGAAGCGACTTCCAGTTTCTCAAGTCGCTCCTGACATGAAAAAAAAAATCTGCAGTATAAAATAACCAGTAATCCTTGGTAAAGTTGTCTTCCATTTATGCCACCTTTGACTCCAAACAAGGACAAGGCACTCTCTCCTTTGGTCATTAATAAAGAGAAAATATCCAGGTTCTGTGGGTTACATTTCAGAGGAATTGGCAAGCCACCTGTGAATATTCCTTATCTAAGGAATCTCTGTGAAACACATGAAGTCAATGGGCAGTGTGGATCTACGTATACAATGATTTCCTACAGAGGCTTCAAACCTTCCTTTTGATATAAAGATAAGCAGAAATACCAAATACCCCCTACACACACCTCTGTGGTCCTGATTAGGTTCAAATGTCCTCTGCCATGAAGATCCTTGTCAGAACATTACACAAAAGTAGCAGTGTAATTGTGGGAGTCTAATTTTGGACAGAATATGCAAGGTTACATAGATTTAGTCCGAGATTTTCTGCTCATCCACTACATTCATTGGTTGTGCAGGAAACTCCACACCAGGTTCCTCTTGTAAGCAAGGTATTGGCTCACAGGTATCTCTTTGTTACAGCATGAACAGAAACTGACTACATCTCACCTCCACAAACTTGTCAGAACATATCTTCACATGGCACTATGTAGCAAATTCTAAAAAGTTTCTGTTCCTGGTTTGAAAGAGGCTCCTACTAAACCTGGATCTATATTGCCCTATGTAACCAAGATCTGATCCTACGCAACAAAAATTGAAAAATTTTCTGTTCCTGGTTTGAAAATGTTCTTTTCTAATAGTGCAGTACTTGCTTTGAAATTAGTTGTTATACTCCAGAAACGTTGTTTTTGTGGCTGCCACAAACTACGTTGAATTGGTTGAGACTTGAAAAACTATAGCAAAATGTGCTGCAGGATGTCCCACAAAAACAATTTAATAAACCTTTTCCCTCAGTGATAGAACCAATTAGGAAATGACATTTATAACCCAGGAATAAATATAGTGTTGCATGCTATAATCCTCTGTATAACTACATAAACACCAAGATCCCTGTGCTTAATATGACTCGGGGCCCTTCCCCACAGCCATATATCCCAGAATATCAAGGCAGAAAACCCAACACCTGCTTTGAACTGGGTTATCTGAGTCCACACTGTCATATGTTCCAGTTCAAAGCAGATAATGTGAGGTTTTATTCAGCTGTATGGAAGGGGCCTTACTCCCCATTAAGGATGTATAAAGTTTCAACCTGAGACCGCTCCTGAGGCAACCAAATTCAGAAATATTAAAAATCAACTGGGTATTTTTTGATTACAAAAGTATGAGTCAAGCACTGAAAGAGTTAGTAGGCCGAAGCCTGTTAAGAGTCAGTGGGCCAAAATTAGTGTCATCCTGAGGAGAGAAAGTAGGTCAAAGCCTGTTAGGGTCAGTGGCCCGAAGCCTGCTAAGAGTCAATGAGCCAAAGCTAGTGTCGTCCTGAGGAGAGAGAGTAGGCAGAAGCCTGTTAAGAGTCAGTGGGCCAAAGGCAGTGTTGTCCTGAGGAGAGCGAGTAGGCCGAAGCCTGTTAATCAGTGGGCCAAAGCTAGTGTTGTCCTGAGGAGAGGGAGTAGGCCGAAGCCTGTTAGTGTCAGTGGGCCAATGATAGTGTCGTCCTGAGGAGAGCGAGTAGGCCAAAACCTGTTAAGAGTCAGTGGGCCAAAGCTAGTGTCGTCCTGAGAGCGAGTAGGCCAAAGCCTGTTAGAGTCAGTGGGCCAAAGATAGTGTCGACCTGAGGAGAGCGAGTAGGCCGAAGCCTGTTAAAGAGTCAGTGGGCCAAAGCTAGTGTCAACCTGAGGAGAGCGAGTAGGCCAAAGCCTGTTAGAGTCAGTAGGCCAAAGCTAGTGTCGTCCTGAGGAGAGCGAGTAGACCGAAGCCTGTTAAGAGTCAGTGGGCCAAAGCTAGTATCGTCCTGAGGAGAGCGAGTAGGCCAAATCCTGTTAGATTCAGTGGGCCAAAGGTAGTGTCATCCTGAGGAGAGCAAGTAGGCCGGTCTGTTAAGAGTCAGTGGGCCAAAGCTAATGTCCTGAGGATAGGGAGTAGGCCGAAGCCTATTAGAGTCAGTGGGCCAAAGCTAGTGTCCTGAGGAGAGCGAGTAGGCCAAAGCCTGTTAGAGTCAGTGGGCCAAAGCTAGTGTCATCTTGAGGAGAGCGAGTAGGTTAAAGCGTGTTAAGAGTTAGTGGGCCAACTAACACATCCCATGTTGTATATCAGCGATTGTAGATCTCACACCAAATCAAAGCTTTCTTGGGTATCCATCCTTCCATCTTGCTTTGTACCCATTGATACCTTCCCCCTGAAACCACAATCGCTTTTCCGTGAAACCATCATATGCTATTTCCATACCGTTAGGGATTTGTATTAAGATCTTTGAGCTAAAATATGCTGACATGTTTGACCTCACCCACCGTTGGAATGAAACCTGGGAGAACTTTGAAAACAAATTGGGCTTTCTGGGAGCAGAACAGGTTCTCCTCTGTTATAGCTGGCCACGCCCAAGACACCGCACTCCATATTCCAACAGCCCAGTCAATGCTCCCGGCTTCTGCCCTGCCATGGCAAATACAAGCACAAGACTGATTTGGGACAACTTCCCTTTTATTAAAATCACATGTTGGATAAGTGACTAACTCACAGCCTACTATTACCCTTGTGTTTCATGGGGCTTTTAGCCCCATTCAGTACCAAAAATGACACCCTCCACCCCCATGTACCTCTCTGTATTTGAACTATCTCTGCAAACTGAAAACATCGTTGACATCATCAACAAAGTGGTCTGCAATCTATGTACGTCTGTATTTAAGGTGCCTCGAAATTTGGATTTAGGCTAAGTATCAACTCTTTGGTATTTAGAAGCTGGAATGTTCTGCAACATCATGGAAGAGGTGTTAACAGAAGACATTTCATTTACCCATCTTCTAACTGCCCTAAACATCCACCGAACATTAACCGTTTGCTCTATTGCAGACAGCGAATACATTCGACTAGGTTCTGGAACCGTAGAAGAACAAGAAAATCAGGTAATCCATTGGTACAGATCACCCAAAAAAGACACCAATATTTAAACGTGATTGTGCCTTTAAGGATATGGTGGGAAATCCCAGGACTTGATCAATTAACTGACCATGGATGAAATGCTAACAAATTAGCAACCAATTCTGGTTACTCCTTTGCTTACAGAACTTTTGGAAAAGTGGACAACTCCTCCCAGAATGCTAGCTGCCCATAGACGGGAAATTATGGGAGTTTCATGGCCGGAATCACTGGCTTGTAGTGAGTTTTCCGGGCTGTATGGCCATGTTCCAGAAGCATTATCTCCTGACGTTTCACCCACATCTATGGCAGGCATCCTCAGAGCTTGTGAGGTCTGTTGCTGTTTATATACCTGTGGAATGTCCAGAGTGGGAGAAAGAACTCTTGTCTATTTGAGGTAGGTGTGAATATTGTAATTGGCCGTCTTGATTAGCATTTAATTATCCTAGCAGATTCAAGGTCTGGCTTCTTACTGCCTGGGAGAATACTTTGTTTGACCTCTTAACAGTAAATAAAGAACACTAAAAATGGGAATTCCAGACAAGGAACAATCAGGGCCAGCTAATCGCCTCCCAAAAAAGGATTCCCCAGACAGTAAAAAGCCAGGCTAGGCTATTAAATGCCGATCAAGGTAGCCAATTGTAACATTCACATCTACGTCAAACAAAGAGTTTCTCCCACCCTAGACATTCCACAGATATATAAATCCAATTTTCCTAGTTTCTAACAGACTTCACAACCTTTGAGGATGCCTGCCATAGATGCAGACAAAACATCAGGAGAGAATGATTCTGGAACATGGCCAAACAGCCTGGAAAACTCAAAACAACCCTATGGGAGTTTCAGTCACAACTTTTGCCAGATCTGGATTTATTGCTTCTAAATGCACTAGTGAAGGAAAGGGGGGGGGGGGATCAAATCATTCTATTCTTGGTTGAAATTTTAAAAAGTGGTGACTAGTTTAATAATTCGGTTCCAAAGACCACTTAAGTTTTCTCAACATTTACTGCCCAGTGTTGTTCTCAACATAGTTGGGAGAAAGAGCAGCTTGTACATTTGCCTATATAGGGAAAAGATCAGAACAAGAGAAAAATATTTTGAATTACCTCTCATCTTACTACTCCACCATAGACTACTAAGGAGTTTGTGGCTTACTTGTGTGTGTCACCCATATTAGAGAATTCATGTAATGAGTAGTACAACATGGAATAACAGCTACTGGGTAGGAAAATCAGTGCTTGCTGCTGCTTCTCTTTCAGATTATGGGAAGATAGGGAACACTTACGGCTGTGATTATTATTATTTTAAAAAAAGATTAAAACACCCCTTTAAATGCATTCATACAATATGTGGTGGAGCACGGATGCTCATCTGTGTAGGTGCAGAAGCTTGCTGGCTCTAGCGTCAGTGAAGTGTATGATCCTCGGCTCTGGTTTTCCAATGCCCCAACATAATATATTCACCAAACTGTCCATCTTCCAATTTTTCACCCCAAAACCGACATTTCTTACATTACCCTGCCATGTGCACCCTTGAGCAAAGAAGGCCACCAAATCAATGCAATTTGCTTGGAAGAATTTAGGACAGAAAAGTGTCAAGAGTAGGATACGCAGGGCTTGAATCCTCCCCAAATGGCACAAAGCGTGTTCACGGCAATAGTGCTGAAGGTCTGGAGAAATATGATACATCCACTTCCTGCCCTGTTCCAGTTTGCAAGGTCCTCTGTGACAGTAGAGAAAGTGTAGTATTGAGGCACAACTGCAGAATACACATTGCCAGCCCTTGTTGCAAGTGGGGGAAAGTGGAGCGAGGGAGCAATCCTGCGCAACCCTCTCGCTGGAAGGAACCAGAGCAGCTCTTCTTTCCCTTTCCAGGATCCGTAGCTTGGTGCGGGAAGGCAGTTTACAGAATGGAACAAGGGCAGCCTTTGCTTTCTTTCTTCTTAGGGTTAACAGTCGGGGCGGGAGGAGACTCCAGCTCATGAAACCTCCTGGGAGGGAAAAGAGAGAAATAGAAGAAATGGTGGCAGGAAACAAAGATCACATATAACAAAACAATTGGCCAGTTCTTCTACCATAGATGCAATTTCCATAACCTGAACCTTTGGACATGCTGAGTGGGACTATTGGAAGATGTAAGCCAAAACACATAGAACAGAGCTTTCCAAACAATCATGTTTTTCAGATATGCATCACTTCGCAACACAGTAAGTCGGCTTTATTAGCATACCAGAGGTTAAGCCAACCGCCTTATAAGAATTACAAACTGATACTAGAATCATAGAATCAAAGAGTTGGAAGAGACTTCATGGGCCATCCAGTCAAACCCCCTGCCAAGAAGCAGGAATATTGCATTTAAATCACCCTTGACAGATGGCCATCCAGCCTCTATTTAAAAGCTTTCAAAGAAGGAGCCTTCACCACACTCTGGGGCAGAGAGTTCCACTGCTGAACGGCTCTCACAGTCAGGAAGTTCTTCCTCATGTTCAGATGGAATCGCCTTTCTTGTAGTTTGAAGCCATTGTTCCGCGTCCTAGTCTCCAGGGAAACAGAAAACATGCCTGCTCCCTCCTCCCTATGACTTCCCCTCACATATTTATACATGGCTATATCTCCTCTCAGCCTTCTCTTCTTCAGGCTAAACATGCCCAGCTTCTTAAGCCGCTCCTCACAGGGCTTGTTCTCCAGACCCTTGATCATTTTAGTCGCCCTCCTCTGGACACATTCCAGCTTGTCAATATCTCTCTTGAAGATATTGTTACTGTTACAGTACTGTTGCACTCTAGCCTTGAAACACCTTTTCACCCAGCACAGTCCAGTAGTATCTAACTACAGTAGTTTATTTGCAGAAAGAATATACAAGGGGGAAAAGGGCTTTTCTCAAAAAAGCAGTAGAAAAGGTGTTATCAAATAGCAGTAGTCCATATATACAACGTTCAATCTATATAAATAAAATGTAAACGTCAGTTTGTGAATGACCTCAAAACTCCCAAAATACGTCACTGATTGCTTTGGAATTTGGACACAACATAGTATTTGAATGGGTGAATGTTTTTTTGTATTCACATACCTACTATTATATAGATTTCATACCTGTAACACATAAATACTGGATTGGCATCAAAAACAGTGCCATCTGCTGGACATCCAAGCAACATATCGCGAAGCCACCTCATCAGGGACTGAGCTGGTTGCCCCCCACTGAGCCTGCCTGCCTGCCTGCCTCCTCTGAAGCAGAACCAGGAGAAGAAGAGGAAAAAAGTGGTAGGAAAATTCAGGCTGGGGCACGGGTCCAGGGGAGGGAGGGAAGGAGGCAGGTAAAGAGGTAGGGCCAGCCTAAGCCCAGTCAATGTGGTCTTGAAAAGATTCTGAAGTTGTAGCTCCCAAAAACAATTTCTTCAAATCCAGTTCATGTGTCTTCACAGAATCATACAGTTGGAAGAGACCTTGTGGGTCATACAGTCCAACTCCTGACAAGAAGCATTCAAAGCACTCCCAACAGATGGACATCCAGCCTCTGCTTATGTGTTCTATCACACTCCAGAACTGAGAGTTCCACTGCTGAACAGCTCTCACAGTGAGGAAGTTCTTCCTAATGTTCAGGTGGAATCTCCTTTCCTATAGTTTGAAGCCATTGTTCCACGTCCTAGTCTCCAGGGAGCAAACTTGCTCCCTCCTCCCTATAACTTCCCCTCACATATTTATACATGGCCGTTATCATGTCTTCTCTCAGCCTTCTCTACTGCAGGCCAAACATGCCCAGCTCTTTAAGCTGCTCCTCACAGGGCTTGTTCTCCAGACCCTTGATCATTTTAGTTGCCCTCCTCTGGACACATTCCAGCTTGTCAACATCTTCCTTTAATTATAATGCCCAGAACTGGACACAGTATGATTCCAGGTGTAGTGTATCCAAGGCAGAATAGAGGGGTATCATGGCTTCCCTGGATCTGGCCACGATACTCTATTTATACAGGCCAAAATCCCATTGGCTTTTTTAGCTGCCGCATGACATTGTTGGCTCATGTTTAACTTGTTGTCCACGAGGACTCCAAGGTCTTTTTCACACATCCTGCTGTCAAGCCAGGCATTGTCTCCCATTTGGTATCTTTGCATTTCATTTTTTTCTGCCTAAATGGAGTATCTTGCATTTGTCCCTGTTGAACTTCATTTTGTTAATTCTGGCTAATCATCCCTCTAACCTGTTAAGATCATTTTGAATTCTGCTCCTGTCTTCTGGAGTGTTGGCTATCCCTCCCAATTTGGTGCCATCTGCAAATTTGATGACCATGCCTTCTAACCTTTCATCTAAGTTATTTATTTATTTATTTTATTAAATTTTTATTGATTTATCACAATTATTACATACTATTGCATTTTATACATCAACCTCTTTAACATGTTGTTTTGTTGTTTTGCTTTGACATTTCCTCCCCTTTTCTCTTTTTTTTTCCTTCCTTTTTTCACCTCAGTGCTCCCCTCCGCCCGTTTCAAGCCACATTTCTTACATTTCATCTGTCCAAAATTTCATTTCTTCTTGTGACGGTAATTTTCCTTCCTTATTTTTTAATCCATTTACCACAAATTTCCCCCATACAGCATCTAAATCACTTTGTTTCCATATACCTTTTTTAACCTTTAATATACATGTCAGTTTATCGTTTAAAGCTATTTTCCATGCTTCCTTATACCACTCCTCTATTTGTATATTCATTTCTTTTTTCCAATTCCTTGCTATGAGCAGTCTTGCTATAGTTAGTAAGTTTGTTATCGCTTCTTTATCCTCCTTTTTCAATTGCTTATTGGTATATAATGATAGTAAGGCTATACTAGGACTTTTGTCTATTTTCATATTCATTATAATTTCTATTTCTCTAAATACTTTCTCCCAAAAATTATTTACATATTTACATTGCCACCACATATGTATATATGTTCCTGGTTCTTGACACCCTCTCCAACAATTTACTTGAGTTATTTTTATTCATATATGCTATTCTTACCGGTGTTAAGTACCACTTCCATATTAACTTGTAATAATTTTCTTTAACTCGTATCGATAAATTTTTTAAATGTCTTTGTCCCCATAACTGTTGCCACTCTATTTCACTTATTTTTATCCCTAAATCCTCTTCCCAAATCTCCTTAAGGGTACACTTTTTTATTTTTCCATCCCTCATTTCAATTAGTATTTTGCTAATTATACCTCTCAAGTTTTCATGTTCTTCTACTGCCCTTCCCTTCTGTATTATTTGTTCGAATTGATTGAGTTGGCTTCCATTTCTATTTTTTTTTCCAGTTTATTAACCATTGTTCTAATTGTATACAATGAAACCATGATAATTTTATTTCTTTAAACTCTTCCAACATCCTTTCCCTCTTCATTTCCACTTTCATCCAATCCCCTATTCTATCTAAATTTATTTCCCTTACCTTTTTATCCATTGCTTTTTTTAAATTTTTGGGAATTTCTTTTCCATCACTATTGGGGTTATAATTGATCCTTCCTTTATTAACCTCCCCTTGTATTTATTCCATACTTTCAGTATGTTACTCAACATTGGGTTTCTAATTTCCTTCAGTTCTTTTCTGGTAAGCTGTTTAAAAAATATATTCCAGGTTTCATCTTCCACTTTTCCTGAATCATTACTAAGCCAGTCTATTCCCTTTTTTTTAACCATTCCTTCTATAACCAAATTTAATCTACTTGCATCATAATATTTTTTTATATTAGGTAGTGCTAGTCCACCCTCCTTTTGCGATCTATACCATATTTGTTTATTTAGCCTGTTTTTTTTACTTCCATTGCAATACTTATTAATCATTTGTTGCCATCTAGTTAGTTCTTCCTCTGTGATTTGAAGTGGTAACATTCTAAATATAAAATTTATTTTTGGAAGTATTTTCATTTTTACTGCTATTCTTCCAAACCAGGTCTGAGAGAATTGGCTGTCTGCAAGGATGTTGCATAGGGGACGCCTGAATGTTTTACCATCCTGTGGGAGGCTTCTTTCATGTTTCCACATGAGAAGCTGGAGCTGACAGATGGGAGCTTACCCCACTCTCTGGATTCAAACCGCTGACCTTTCCGTCAGTAGTCCTACTGGCTCCTTCCTCCAAAGTCATTTTGGTTCAAATGTACAGAAAGGGAAGTTCATAATATTTTGTTGAGGCACATCTGCAACAGGGAAAAATACTTTTTGCTGGAGTGACTGTTCTAGAAAAAATAAAATCTTGCTCCCTCTTTTTATTTTCCACTAATTCCGCTTCATTCCGATTTATACTACAGAATATGGAGGGGTGGAAAATAGTTTTATTAATAATCCAGAGTGTTACAATCACAAGGTCACAGCTCATGGTGGGGCAACACTTTGTTGATTGTTGATTCATATTCTTTGGTGGCGTTGAAACTCTGCTGCATAAGTTTAATGAATTCCTCTCGTGAAAGCCTGCCATCCTGGAGAAGAAGGGGTAGAGAGAGAAACTACACCTACAATATTTGTCCAAGGATTGGGGCTACTTACATATTACATATAAGCAGCCTTTAGTATTTCTATGTAAGTAGGGTAAAAACACCGCAAGAAGGTGATTTCAAACCTATTGCCTTGTTTGTTCCACTTCAGCTGCTTGCCCCCTATGAAGTCCCACATTACTGTTCGAAAGGTAAATATGGATCTTGTTACCAAGGAAGGAGAGCAACATGAATGGCAACGGAGTTGAAAACCCACTTAAAATCCTGTTGCTGACTCCTGCAGAATTATAGGGTTTGTAGTTTAAGGATGAGCCTTTAACAGCCTCACTAAACTACAAATCCCAGAATTCTGCAGGAGGCAGAAACCGGATTTTAAGTGGATTTTTTTCTCTAGTGTGATGAAGTAGTCCAGAAGCAGTTTAAAACTATGTGAGAGAAAATAAATGGATGCCTTGGAATCCACAGATATGACAGGAGGAACACACAAACACAGACCAGCCCTTGTAAAATAGATTGAACACT